AACCTATCTTCATGAGGGATCAAAACTGCCACCCCCTCTGGCCAATACATTGAACAGGATCTTACCTTGAAATTATCTTCATGATGAATCAAAACTGCCACTGCCTCTGGCCAATACATTGAATAGGATCTTAACTTCAACTTTTCTCCAGGAGGGATCAAAACTGCCACCCCCTCTGGCTAATACTATGAATAGGACCTGAAATAAAATTAAACTTCCTGAGGGATCAAAACTGCCACCCCCTCTGGCCAATACGATGCATAAGATCTTCACTTCAACTTATCTTCATGATGAATCAAAACTGCCACCCCCTCTGGCCCATACATAGAATAGGATCTTAACTTGAACTTTTCTTCATGAGGGATCAAAACTGCCACCCACTCTGGCCAATACATTGAATAGGATCTTAACTTCAACTTTTCTCCAGGAGGGATCAAAACTGCCACCCCCTCTGGCTAATACTATGAATGGGATCTGAACTTGAACTTAACTTCCTGAGGGAACAAAACTGCCACCCCCTCTGGCCAATACATTGAACAGGATCTTACCTTGAAATTATCTTCATGATGAATCAAAACTGCCACCCCCTCTGGCCCATACATTGAATAGGATCTTAACTTCAACTTTTCTCCAGGAGGGATCAAAACTGCCACCCCCTCTGGCCTAAATACTTCAACTTTTGAAATTATCTTCATGATGAATCAAAACTGCCACCCCCTCTGGCCCATACATTGAATAGGATCTTAACTTCAACTTTTCTTCAGGAGGGATCAAAACTGCCACCCCCTCTGGCTAATACTATGAATAGGACCTGAAATAAAATTAAACTTCCTGAGGGATCAAAACTGCCACCCCCTCTGGCCAATACGATGCATAAGATCTTCACTTGAACTTATCTTCATGATGAATCAAAACTGCCACCCCCTCTGGCCAATACAGTGCATAGGATCTTACCTTGAACCTATCTTCATGAGGGATCAAAACTGCCACCCCCTCTGGCCAATACATTGAACAGGATCTTACCTTGAAATTATCTTCATGATGAATCAAAACTCCCGCTCCCTCTGGCCAATACATTGAATAGGATCTTAACTTCAACTTTTCTCCAGGAGGGATCAAAACTGCCACCCCCTCTGGCTAATACTATGAATAGGACCTGAAATAAAATTAAACTTCCTGAGGGATCAAAACTGCCACCCCCTCTGGCCAATACGATGCATAAGATCTTCACTTGAACTTATCTTCATGATGAATCAAAACTGCCACCCCCTCTGGCCCATACATAGAATAGGATCTTAACTTGAACTTTTCTTCATGAGGGATCAAAACTGCCACCCACTCTGGCCCATACATTGAATAGGATCTTAACTTCAACTTTTCTCCAGGAGGGATCAAAACTGCCACCCCCTCTGGCTAATACTATGAATGGGATCTGAACTTGAACTTAACTTCCTGAGGGAACAAAACTGCCACCCCCTCTAGCCAATACATTGAATAGGATCTTACTTGAAATTATCTTCATGATGAATCAAAACTGCCACCCCCTCTTACATTGAATAGGATCTTAACTTCAACTTTTCTTCAGGAGGGATCAAAACTGCCACCCCCTCTGGCTAATACTATGAATAGGACCTGAAATAAAATTAAACTTCCTGAGGGATCAAAACTGCCACCCCCTCTGGCCAATACGATGCATAAGATCTTCACTTGAACTTATCTTCATGATGAATCAAAACTGCCACCCCCTCTGGCCAATACAGTGCATAGGATCTTACCTTGAACCTATCTTCATGAGGGATCAAAACTGCCACCCCCTCTGGCCAATACATTGAACAGGATCTTACCTTGAAATTATCTTCATGATGAATCAAAACTCCCGCTCCCTCTGGCCAATACGGTGCATAGGATCTTACCTTGAACTTTTCTTCATGAGGGATCAAAACTGCCCCCCACTCTGGCCCATACATTGAATAGGATCTTAACTTGAACTTTTCTTCAGGAGGGATCAAAACTGCCACCCCCTCTGGCTAATACTATGAATAGGATCTGAACTTGAACTTAACTTCCTGAGGGATCAAAACTGCCACCCCCTCTAGCCAATACGATGCATAAGATCTTCACTTGAACTTATCTTCATGATGAATCAAAACTGCCACCCCCTCTGGCCCATACATTGAATAGGATCTTAACGAAACTGATTGAATAAGATTTTACCTTGAATCTATCTTCATGAGGGATCAAAACCGCGATCCCCGGCCAATACGATGAATAGGGTCTTGACTTGAACTTAACTTCATGAGGGGTCAAAACTGCCACCCTTTCTTGCCAATATAATGAATTAGGGGTAAACCCTGCCCGAAGAGTGATCATCCGATACATTTACGTGGTGCCGCCCTAATTGTATCATATTAAATCTAGGATTGACATGACAGAAAGTAAATGATCCATGCAGAAACTTCTTCCTATTGATCTATGAACCCGTTTGGCACGTAGACTCACACCATCATCATCTAATCTTTTGTTGGCAAGATTTAAAACCTTTGATCTTGTCCATTATACATCCATATACAGTCATAACGTGTATCTACATATAAATATATATATATATATTAACAAAGGTGATATGCATCAGACCTATATATATATATATACACATACAATATCATACATCTAACTAATTTACATCTGATATAACCACAAGATCTTTTCCGTTTCCCTGCAATAATGGGTTCCCAAGGATCCCCGCTCCAGCATCATGGTGGAGGATGGCGATCCCAGTGCAGGAGCTGCGTTTTGGTCCGTCAACGACTCCTTTCGGAGGCAGGGCAAGACCCATGGAGGGTACAGGATTGAATGAGTCCGATGTAGCGACTGTGGTGGAAGCTGAGAAATCTGATCATCTAGCGGAACGAGTTAGTTTGGGCACTTTGTTTGTTTATTGTGTCTATCGCTATGATATCATATATATATATATATATACTATCAGATCTCTAAGCTTCAACTTCATGAGTCAAGACCCGGCATGTCCAACATTGTCCAAGTGTTTGTTGCACTCGATCTGGCAGATCTGGTACCCCAATGAGGCACAAAGATCCTGGCTCCTCCATCACTGGTCGTTCTGGCTGTTCGACTGGGAATTTCCATCCGAGTCTCGAAATTGTTGGCAGAGATGGACCAGCTGGAGGTTTGTTTGGGAGTATACATGCTCTTCTTAAAGATAATTCAAAGTTGGGTATTGCATGGTATACATGGTAACCGTTCGCTTTCTGATAGGGAATGAGACTGCCACCCCTTTTAAGTTTTGCATTGAATGGATGATATTACCACCAACCTTTTTTTCATCAAAAACATGTGGCCGTCAATGGTGCTGCATGGGCCTGTGCCATTGCTTGAGGAATGCCGGAGGGGGAGCGCTTGACCTGACAGCACCAAGTGATCCAAGCCGACCAAGCCCACCGAGCCCACTGCAAGGAGATGAGAGTCCACCGGTTTCACATCCGTCGATGCTGTCAGTTGGCTTCTTGGCCGCTGTGGGAGTGGCCACGTGCCCACTGCCAGATCCCAGGATGCTTCCAGCTGGGACTCTTGGCCCACATCGTCATGGCGAGCATATGCATGCATTGGTGTGAACATTTTTTCATGCAGTATGCGTGTATATTTTGCATCTGGGCATCAGCATATTTTTGCATAGTGTAAGTGTTCGGACATCGTATGCGTGCTCCGCAGTGTTAAATTTCCTCACGGAAATCATCCTCCGTGTCATGATCACTGTTTGTTTGGCAACGCCAAGATGTTGATACCTTTCAGCTTGCATTTGACAACGGTCCGTCTAAGGATATGGCCAGAAAAAATCTTGAATCCAGGGCTACTGCTGGACTTGTCTCAGTGCCCCGGCTAGAGACTCGCCTTCTCAGCTTGTGAGACTTGAGTCAAATGAATCTTTCAGTGGGACATTGCCCAACACTTTCTTGTCGCTGTGGCCTTCTTGTTGCTCTGGGCACGACCCTGTTTTTGCCTGCAGACTGAAAACCGTGCTCGTAAAAGGCACGTTTGTGGGGTGGGATGGAGTGGGGGGGGGCATGTCAACGCTCCTTGTACTTCGTACATTACAGCGTGCTACGCTGCTGAGATCCCTGGGATCGTTGCTATGTTACTTTTTGCTACGCTGCTGATGGGGTGGGGTAGGGTGGGGGTGGGGGCATGTCAACGTTCCTTGTTCTTCGTACATTATAGTGTGCTACGCTACAAAGATCTGTGGGATCGTTGATACGTTACTTGTTACTGAGCTTCTGGAAATTCCGGGATCGTTGCTTCGTTACATGTCACTACACTGCTGATGGGGTGGGGTGGGGTGGGGTGGGGGGGGGCATGTCAACGCTCCTTGTACTTCGTGCATTATAGTGTGCTACGCTCCAACGTTCTGTGGGATCTTTCCTACGTTACATGTTCCTACGCTGCTGGGATCTCTGGGACCTTGCTACGTTACTTGTTACTACGCTGCTGCGATCTCTGAGATCGTTGCTATGTTACTTCTTACTACGCTGCCGCGCTCTCTGAGATCGTTGCTACGTTACCTGGTACTACGCTGCTGATGCTTAACTACGTTACATGGTTCTACGCTCACATAGTATGTTTTTCCGACATTCTCCTTTGAATTTAATCACATGCCTCGGCTCGATATATCTCTTACAATTATAGCAAACAGACAGGTCAAGTCCCTGGTATGGACACAGTTGGTTCTTCGTAGATTTCGACAAGAGTGACATCAGCAAGGCTTCGTCCAGTGAACGCGACCGAGGTCATGCAATGCCAATAACCCATCACAGCCGCTGCCGCTGGTGATCGGAACGCCACTGCGCGCCGCTAGCAGGCGTGCAGAAAGTTGCGGACAGAGCATGTATAGCTTTTCTCCCGCGTTGGGGTCGGTCACAGAACGATTAATTTTGGCATGCCGAAACCGATAGACCTTGCAAATCTAGTGACACCTTATTGCTTTTCTGCGCCAAGAGCTTGCAGGACCACAGAGACGGAAACCATGCGCACTTCGTCCACCAATCCGTTCTCGCCGCGGCAACTTTTGCAGCAACGCATGGATGCAGCCGCCAAGAGGCACTGCGGACATTGAGAAACACCCATTTTTGGTTCCTATGGTCTTACGCCCTGTTCGGGGCACAGACTTTGTATCCTCATCACGTATCAAATCAATCACTGCTCGGCTACCCGCTCTGAAGAATGCAGTAGAATACATTGTCAAAGATCTCATATATTCACAAGGGGTCAAGCATGTATTGTGTTTTCTCAGGATTGGGATCGGTTACAGAACCATGGCTTATGGCATGCTGAAACCGATAGACTTTGCAAATCTAGTGACAATTCATTGCTGTTCTGCACGCAGAGCTTGCAGGACCACAGAGACGGAGACCATGCGCACTTCGTCTACCAATCCGTTCTCGCCCCGGCTACTCTTGCAGCAACGCATGGATGCAGCCGCCAAGAGGCACTGCGGACATTGAGAAACACCCATTTTTGGTTGCCATGGTCTTACGCCTTGTTCGGGGCACAGACTTTGTATCCTCATCACGTATCAAATCAATCACTGCTCGGCTACCCGCTCTGAAGAATGCAGTAGAATACATTGTCAAAGATCTCATATATTCACAAGGGGTCAAGCATGTATTGTGTTTTCTCAGGATTGGGATCGGTTACAGAACCATGGCTTTTGGCATGCTGAAACCGATAGACTTTGCAAATCTAGTGACAATTCATTGCTGTTCTGCACGCAGAGCTTGCAGGACCACAGACACGGAGACCATGCGCACTTCGTCTACCAATCCGTTCTCGCCCCGGCTACTCTTGCAGCAACGCATGGATGCAGCCGCCAAGAGGCACTGCGGACATTGAGAAACACCCATTTTTGGTTGCCATGGTCTTACGCCTTGTTCGGGGCACAGACTTTGTATCCTCATCACGTATCAAATCAATCACTGCTCGGCTACCCGCTCTGAAGAATGCAGTAGAATACATTGTCAAAGATCTCATATATTCACAAACGGTCAAATTTAACAATTCCAGTTTTGAACGTGAAGAGAGCATTGTTTTCTTTAGCTCCGCCTTGCGTTCGGCCACGAATCCATAGCCTTTGGCATGATGAAATTGCGTAGCCTCTGCGAATCTATTCGCAAACCGTTCTTTTGCTGCGCAGGCAGAAACCCATTCTTATGAGCCTGCATGCAGGACACCTGAGTTGAAACCTGCGCCGGTGACCCCGGGCATTGCGTCCACAGATCCGTTCTTGCCTCGAGACCTCTTGCAGCAGCGACAAGATGCAGCAGCCAAGAGGCAGTGTGGGGCATTGAGCAACATCCCGTTGTGTATCCATTGTCTTTCTCTTTGGTCGTGGTGCGCAGACACTCTTTTGCCAAGTATTAGATCATGAAAGTGATTGCTTTCAGGCTAGGTCATCTTGGTTGACCAGCACGTTTTTGCTTTGCTTGATTGAAACAGCACCGCCTGACAGGACAAACGCAGAAGCCTTGCTTGACCAGCAGGGAGCAGCCGACAAGTACCAAAAGAGCCAACAACGGTTTGGCATGTTGATGCAATCTCCAAATGCATTGGAGTTTTACACGTCACGTCCGCACTGCGGGATAAAAAGGCAAGCAGTTCTGTCATGTTTGCTGTTTGTTCTAAGTTGGAACGTGGCTCCAAGTTTGCCTGTTGGGATTTCTTCATGTCATATATCTTCGGGACCATAGACAGCGGAGACCTTATCCCACATGTGTGCCTCACGTTTTGACCTCTCCCTAACACATGAAAGCCAGTCAGCGTGCGGAGTCTGCGCAGCACTGTGGTGCTCAAACAATGCCGAGAGCAAGGGCAAGCCCTTGGGGATGGAACGCCGCCGCAGAGAAAGGCTGCGCCGGAGTCAAGCGTGACATTGGTGCCATACGGTCTTTCTTGAAAGAATGGCTGCAGGAAAGTGGCTCCAAAGGGAAAATAGACCGAGTGACTCTCCTCGATGGTGAACAAGAGTGGCAAGCTTATGGCCATTGCGAGGCTGAGCCTGACTGTCCTCAGCGGTGGCGATGGACATGTCAAAACCAGTCGTGTGCCTGGGAGGTGCAAGGTGACCATGGTGATGAGGAGGCATCAGATGCCCGGCAACAAAATGCTGCACGAGTGTCTTGCATGGTGCCTATGCAGGCGCTGGGCTGCGCGGTTATTGTTCTCCGATATCCGTGAACAGCTGGCAGCAGTACTTGCCATATCTTCACGGCTCCCCAGATGTCGATGTGTTCATGAAATCTATCACGCCATATCCTCGCACCATGTCCAAAATGGTTTTGCCACTAGTCAATGTTGCATTGACCGACGCTTTGAGTGTCATCCCGCCAGGCGAAAGCACAACTACTGTCAGAGAAGATCCCAGCAGCACAAGTGCCAACCTTGAAAGAGCTCGAACTTGCACGGAGACGGCATCAGAGCAAAAAGAAAGGAGGCCGCCCTGACTTCCAACTAGACTGCGCCGCGTCTTGGGAAAGCTTCGTCCAAGCGAAGTTACGCAGAAACCAGGATGAGGTTGCGGCCTATGAGTTCAAGTACATCCGCCTTGTTGCTGATGCACCTTTCATTCCGCTCCAGATGCTGGCAAACGCAGCAAGCCACACGCCCTGCGAAGGTAGCACCATGATGTGTTCCGACAACATGCTGGCCATGGCTAAGCAGCTTGTAGACCATAATGGACTCAGGGGATCGGGCCAAGTGCAACTCTGCATGGATTGCACCTACAAGATTTCGTGTTCAGGCCTTGAGACATGGAAACTGTTCCCATGCCGGTGTCCTTTTCCCCAACATTTTCAGATATGGCAGATATGGATATGGGTGCAAGTCACAATATGAGGTCCGGAACAAGCTCCGGGACCACACATACATAATCATACACACATGAGTGTGTGCATGCAAGAATACGTTTACTTTGCCCCAGCCCTGTGATTGTGTTGGCAAATCTGTGCCTGCAGCGTTTGCTGTGTGATGGTAGGGATGTGCTTGGCTGTTGTCAGCTGGCAGTCTAAGAATCTACCCCATAGGGACCGAGACCTCTGAGTTTCAGGGGTAGGAGGTGGGACCTACGTGACAGGTCTGAAGCTGAGTGGACAGCTTCACATAGTAGCTAGTGGGTGAGGCTGGCTACCGGTTATGTCCTAGCCGGTGCAGGAGCACGAGCACTAGCCTTGCAAGGCAAACCTGCGTTGAACAGGTGTGCAACAAGGATGCCGCGCAGATGAGAAGTGAACATGAGCGGCAGCCAGCGGTCGTAGCTTCAACGTGCATATCCCTGAGATGTATATTATAGACATATATTAATCATACATATAAACAGTATACATATAGATATATATATATATTTTTCTTAATTTATGTGCCTCTTATATTTCATCACATTCCAAAGGTCCGGAACCAGACCAGTTACGAAACCTCCTCGTTCCATCCGTCCGGAAGAGCCCGGAACGTTCCACATACGATTTTGACTCAGAGACATATATATATATATGTATAAAAGTGATTCTTGTGGTTTGAGTCATGCGATGGTTGCGTCGCGTTGCCAAACCTTCTTCCTTGATTGACCACAGGTTGGGGGCTTCTACTCTTGGCTGCGCCGAACAAGCATTTGAGCGAGACGGGCCATCCAGCATCTGAGGCCGTGCTACTTGGGGCCTTCTGGGTGCCGAAAGAGGACAAGAAGAGCATCGCAGCAGCCCTTATCACCTACTTCAAGTACTTGGATGAGAAAAAGGTGCGGCTTCTGCGACTGGTGACTAGCTTCCTGGTTGATGGCCATGAAGGTGCGAAAGCTGCAATCCAACAGGCCAGGCTTCGGTTGAAATCTATTTCCTTCACTGTGCGACAATATGCCCCTGAGAAAAATACGGAAGCCATAATCAACACCACCTACTCGGTCGATGTTGAAACAAGAGTTTGGAATAAGTGCTCTTTCTTTTTGGAAACCTGGCATTTTGGATGCTTCCAAATGAATTTCCAGCCAGGTGTTCCCAACAGTCGTGGTGAAGCTGGACCAGAGACATGTCTTGGAAGCAGCTCGACGGCTGCCGAACAAGATTTGCAACCACAGCAGGTACGCAGAGTACCTGAGCGGAGAGATCTTCTTCTCGTCATACCTGAGTACTGCGGTGCTGTTCCATCTCTACTGGTCAGAGGTTCTTCAGCGGATGATTGAGGCGGGACGATGGCGCCTGGTTGCATACGTGAAAGACTATGTGCTTCGCTGGGTGAACGGATCGTGGACAGCACCTTGGCGATGTGGTGTGGATGTTCCCTGCAGAGTTATTGGGTATGGCGCTTCAACGTGCCATCAAGCGTTGGAACGCTGCAACGGTGTCCTCAAATCAAACCTTCCAGTGGGCTATGAGAACAGAGGCTTGGGCACGGTGAGTGACCTGCTGGAATGCTCGCTACGAACGTACATGTGTCTACTCCTCAGACATTTTAGAACCAGACAAGCAGCCATGGAATGCTCTTTTCCACATTCTCGAACTTTTTAGTTGTGCTAAAGACATGAGGCATGATGTTACCTTGCGCATGGGGGTTGCAAACGCAGACAGTTTCTGGTGCAGAGGGCATGCAGATGAACAACTCGCCAAGTAGCAGAGGTTCCTTCACATCTTCCAATGTATATACGTAAATAAATGAATCAATATATATATATATATATACCAGATAGTGACCGAAGGTGTCGATTTCTGCCGCATTTTGAGCTGTGTCTTGTTTGTGTGACCTTGGCTTCCAGCAATGATATCCAATCTGAGGCAAAAAGGGCTTCGTGTGTGAAGCTGATGAGACTATCTCCAAAAGCTGGCAGTTCGAGCAGGCTTGGTCCAAACCGAATCAGCTCTTCATGTGCGGCAACAGTACGCAAGGTGAACGCTTGCCTTGGGAGGACAGCCTGCGCTTGTAATCATCGTGATGGATGTGACTTTACCTTTTTTTTTTCACGTACCTGCATCCCCTCTGTTAAACATCAAAAGGGCTATCCGCACCCACCTTGCCTGCTTTGTCTTGCGACCATTTTGTTTGTTACACGTTTCCAGGATGATGCTCAGCGTAAAACACCACCTGCTGTGAAGTTCCTGGACTCCATGCCAGACAATTATGAGATGACTGAGCAGGAGTACGATTGGTTTGGTTGGCCTGTTGGAGCAGATTACACCTTTTGTTGTGATCACGCAACATCAACAGTGGACAAGGAGACGCACACTGCTTTCAGTGCTGTGCTGGCTGCCACTGACACAGCAGCCTGCTTGGCGGCATTGCAAAAGGCAGAGCTGGCAGATTCAGATGGCCGAGTCCACTTGACCAGGCTTCGAGCTACTTTCAGCCACCTGTGCAGTGTGAAAGCCTTGCAGCACAAGCAACAAGGTATGACCTGTCTGTGCACATGTCAGCTGTTCAGCAAATGTGGCACTTGTCCACACACCGTTTTGGTGCAGTGGCTCCGCAAAGAACCTGACGTCACATTGGCAGGGATGGAAGCCATGACAACCAAAAAGGGACCCACCACATTTGCAGAGGCAGATGAGCTTGTCAGGAACAAAAAGGCCGGCAGACCTCCAAGCATGCCAGCCAAGGCAGCATGGCAAACCATGAAAGAAATCCTCTACAGAGTGAAGCAAAGGGCAGAAAGCCGTAAACGCAAACAAGAGCCCTGGCTGCCAACTTTTGGCGCAATGTTTCAGGTCCATCCCCGAGCATCGACATACATTGTTGGCAGTTTTGGCATTGTCATTAAGCATCATATTTAATATTTTTTAATTGCCTTCGGCAAGCCCGCCGGCCATAGAGCGGTGGCCCCAAGCGAGTGTGATGTGCATTCTCGGTAGTAGTCGTAGTAGTAGTAGTAGTAGTAGTAGTAGTTGTAGTAGTAGTACTAGTAGTAGTAGTATAGTAGTCGTCGTCGTCGTTGTCGTCGTCGTCGTCGTCGTCCTCGTCCTCGTCCTCGTCGTCGTCGTCGTCGTCGTCGTAATAGGTATTAGGTATTCGGCATTAGGTCTTAGGTATTAGCTAGTAGGTATTAAGTATTATTACTTGTACTAGTAGTACTTGGAAGAGAAGAGTGGAGGGGATTGATTCCGACGAAGCAATAACGCGCAGCAAGAGAACAAAGGAACAAGTACAAGCCAAGAACTGAAGAAGAACAAGACCTGCCAGTCAGGCACGCCGGCTGGCCGGCGGATTTGGTCACATACTTTGTTGACGATTTGCGTAGCCATTTGTTGCGACCACATGTGCCATTTGTTGCGGCTCCTTGTCTTGTCAGTTTAGCTCTTTCCACCACACAGCCAAGGATGAAAAGCGGAACGCTGTGTGGAACCTGTTTTTGCACGGCTTGGACCATTTCGATGACTCGGAGGATGAAGACCTCAAGGGACAGAAAAGGACAATCTTGTTAGCCAAGTTAGGCCGAAAGCTCACAGAGGGAAGCTTCAGTGAGCAAATTTCAGCTGCCATAGACTGTGGCAATTTTACTCGTAAAGAGGCCCGTGAGGCCAACCTGCACACTGTGTGCTTCGGGCTGCACACACGTGGCTTGGCGCAGCCGCTCGCTGCGATAATCCTTTCCCTGCTCAAGAAGTGGGATCACCGGTGACAAGCTCCGCGAACGGGAAAACATCACTGCAGCGCTCTATGCTGGCATCCGTGAGGTTTTCAATTCCAGGGTTCCACTTCCCAATTATATCCGTTTCCGACTACCTTTCTTCAGTTTCCGAATACCACTTCCAGTTTCCGAATACCACTTTCCAGTTTCCGAATACCACCTCCAGTTTTCGAATACCAGTTTCCGAATACCACTTCCCAGTTTCAGAATACCACTGTCCAGTTTCCGAATACCACTGTGCAGTTTCCGAATACCACTGTCCAGTTTCCGAATACCACTGTCCAGTTTCCGAATACCACCTCCAGTTTCCGAATACCAGTTTCCGAATACCACCTCCAGTTTCCGAATACCACTGTCCAGTTTCCGAATACCACCGTGACCGTATCGGCGACACCAGGCCACTTTGACAGACTTGGCCACAAGGACGCAAGCCGAAATCTCTACCACGAGTCGCACAATTCAGATCCTCGGAGCGGCTGGAACCGGGTCTACAATGCCGGCGATTCCAGCGCCAGAAGTTCCGGATACTATCGAATTGGAAGATACAGATCAAGAAGAAGAACAGCTCAGACAGAAGTTACAAGCCATTTTGAGATCCTGTGCAAGTTCCTTGGGAATCTCGCCAGATGTGCCTCACCCTCCTGCAGACAAGTCACAAGATGCAGGTGGGAAGGACGAGGAGAAGAAGGAGGAAAAGCCCCCCAAAAGGCAGCGATCCCTCGAGCCCTTTGGTACGCCGGCTGCACCCTCCTCCTGAGGGCAGGCCGCGATTGCGGAGTTCATCAGAATCCCTTTCACGAGGCCAGGGAGTCAGACATCCATGGAGGATCCGTTGAGGCCTATCATTTCAGTGATTTGCTGGATGGTGCAGCAGGCGGAACTCAGGATGCATTTTTCAATTTGAGCTTGTCATGGCATCACTCTGTCAAGAATGAAGCTAGTTTCAAAGATTCATTCCAAGCGGCTCTTGATGCGTGCAGCCTGAGATGGGATGTACTTCAAGATCTCAGTTTTTACAAATTTCATTTACCTCATGACCTGTCGATTTTTTCTGGTTCCAGTATCCAGACTTGCACCTCTCAGGAACCCCATCGTAGCCACAAAGGGTTGTGTGAACTTTGCGGATTGTATTGAAGTGCATATTGGAGAAGAGGACTCTGATCATTTTGCCAGGTTTACAATGAGACATGATTGGATTTGCGGCTGGCCTGAGAAACCTTGGAGTAATCGAAGAATTGCCAAAGGACGTCAATTTTGCCAGCCAACCGTCGACCCTGTCTTGGAAGCTGCACCGGGTTTTTACATTCCATGTTTAACCCTTGAACATCTTGCCCCTGATTTATTGGATTCTGTTGGTCAGGAACCGCTGTCCAATTGGGCCGTGTTGAGCCGACCTTCAGATTCCCCGCAACAAGACGACTCTACCATCTTTATGCAAATCGGCACTAGTGGTATTTATGCATGTAAACATGATGATTTTGAACCACACGAGAATGCCTTGATTTCTGCGCTGCCACAAGGTACAGCGGATACAGTTACTCAGGCCATGCAGGATGGATCTGACAATGACCGTTCCCTTCCTGACAGTAGTGGTTCTGTTACACCTTCGCAATCACCTGTAATGCAACCGCCATCGGAATCAGCTGCCAGACAAGATGTCATTGTTTTTCATTTGCAAGACCCCCCCATCCGTGTTTTCCTTGATTGGGGTGATTATGAGTCTATGATGACTGAACTTGCCCATCATTTTGCTGTACACAGACAGGGAGTTATCGATGCTTATGAAATTGCTATCCCACTTTCTGGTATGCCGCCCGATGTTTACCCAATCATTGTACACCTACTGCCAGACATTGCTTTTGGCCAAGATGCTAGGCTTGTGCTGTTTGATTTGGAGTTACACGGGCATAAAGTTGAACCACATTTCCGCTTAGGCCCAATTACACGTCGATTTGTCCTGCCAGTCCCTCCTAGGGTTGACCGGAAGGGTATTTTGATTTTAGCCAATGTTGACAAATATTGTCATGCAGAAGGAGGACGCTGTCTAGTCTACTCCAACGGCATACGTTGGCCTGACTATGATCTTGACTTTCGCCTCTTTGCACATGGAGATGCGATTAGGATCGTTATTCCCCCCTCTGATAGAATTGAGTGCCCAACTGATCAAGTTGTGAGATGGACTCAGCAAGATTTAACAGAACTTGATATCATGCATCTAATGAATGAAAATGCCCCTGCGGAGGGTTACTCACCTAGCTTGTTGGGCGATGAGGAAGTCCGCTCCCTCGCCACTCCAGCAAGGCCTGCTCTGTCTGACAATGAGGATGATGATTTTTCGGCTATGCAGCGCCAGCCCATCACTCCTGTTGCTGACATAGCTTCTGAAAGGGCCGTCAATAATAGTAGTAGTGACGACATTCCGCAAGACTGGTTTATAGACCTGCAGAGGGTTGTCTCACTGCATGCCAATAGCTGCCCAGAGGGTGAAGAAGATGAATTTCTTTTCTCAATCTACACGTGGTTCCTTGACCACGAGGAAAGCCTTTTATGTAACAATCCCAAAATCGCGGTTTTGGGGGCTTGCCATCGGAATGGGAAGAGGATGTTTTACATCCGTGGAGATTTCGAATCAATGCTGAGGATCGCCCCCTCCTTAGCCTTGTTGCTCCCTTCTCACCACGTGCAGACGTAGAAGAACATATCGCCCACATTATCATTACCCAAAAGCATACTGCTTTGGTCTCCGTATTGGTCTCCATTGAGTTCTATTCGATACGTGAGCGTAGTGTAGTCGTGCGGTTTGCAGTGGCCCTTCCTAAAGTTTGCACTTTCGCTGATATCAGACAGGTAGTTCCATTCTTTGATGATATTAATTGGCAGCGATTGGTTTGGCTACACCCTTTGCTCCAATCCCCTGATGAATCTTTCAGATTGCATGACGGTATGTGTATTCTGTTGCAAATGCCCCCAGAGCTTGAACCGGAATTGCAGAGTGCGCCTGTGGACCAGACTCCGGAAGACACATCCTTTGTCCAGGTATCTGTTAGGAGTGTTAGCAGCCCTAATCGGCTCACTAAGGAACCATTGCCCATTGCACCGGTTTGTAGTATAATGGATGAACTGTTGAGTGCTGTCAATGCTGCCAACAATGCGATTGACAACCAGCTGCCACCAATTGATCAGTTTTCAATTGAAGCACAGCCTGAAAGCTTTCGCGATCTATGGGAAAGGATCACTGACAATCAAGTTGCCTTTGAGCCTGTTGCATCACGTACGCATCGGTTGGAAAGTTGGTTTCTTGACCATGCCGAAGATAGGAACAGATGCTTGGCCTCTAGGATTATTGTGATCAGTGAAGATTTTCTTACTTGGAGGTTTGCAGTCTTTGCCACATGGGGGGACCGGCTTATACCGGGTTCTGATTTTGACCTCTCAATAGTACATCCTGCCACGGAAGACGCTGCGGTTGGGATTCTTGCTCAGGTTATCATTACGCAGAATCATGCAGTTGAACTTCGATCTAATGTTGTCTCTGTTTATGATTCTGATCCTGACCTCGATCGACAGCCATTTATGTTTGCCATTGCCCTACCCGGTCAATTTGACCTACAGGAACTTTTGCAGCTCACCAACCTGCAACAAGATTGTCCGCCCGAAGTGTCTCATAACCATTGTTCACTTTGGTTTGGGGAAGTCCCCTTTTTCCCGGGTCGAAGGGTACATGCACATTCTGGACATGCTTTTAGGCTTGTAATTAGCCGCGGAATTAGGATTGAGCCCACGGAATTGCTTGCCATGCATAGGGAAGTTTTGCGGCAAACAGTGCAAAATGCTCTTGTTTGTGATATTTTTGCTAGGCCCTCCGGACCCAGCTTTACACGCCATGCCCATGGCAATGTTGAAGGAGCACCTCATGAGCAAGTTGCCCAAGATACACGTCCACCTTGGATCACCGAATTGCATCATAGGTTTAGTAGGTCCTTTACCTGTGAAGGCCCTGACTACGAACCTTGTGTTAATGTGACCACTTGGTATGTCAATGGTAACACTGAACACCATTGTGCTGTGCCACGGGCTGTACGTATCACTGAAGATTTCACAACTTGGCGCACTGATATTGTTTTTGCTTGGCGTGACCGGATTGCAAGGGCTATGGTCGCAGATTTTGCGACGATCCAGGGTCTTCCCGCTTTTCCAGTCACACATGACCCACAGCCGCATGTTATCATATTCCAGGGTTCCAGTCCGGAACAGCACCCTGTTCTAGTCACGGTCCGTTGCACGCGACATCAGGCGTTCCCTGACCATAGGTTTGCACATGTCTTTCCTACCAGAACTAGGACTAATGCTATTGGACTTGTCAGTATCCCGCAGGCATTCCGACATCTTCCGTTTATTGTACAGTTGAATGGAATTACGTATCTGCCTGGAGAAGAGATATTTGTTCAAACTGGCAACCACTTGTTGGTTCTTGTTGCACAAGCAGACGTCGATCCTTTTACGGACCAAATTGTCGATGGTTTCAGCCTCCTCCAATCTGCCGCCACTCTGTGCCAGCAGTTTGAGAGTACCTCGCTTTTGGTCCCGTCAGCCACCTGTAAACCGGCTCCCTTTGATGAGGACACTGATCTCCCTATGACCTTTGCAGGACCTCGACGCAATCGACCTAGGAGGCCAGTATTGGACGGGAATCTTGATTGGACTCATGATCTTGCTAATGCAATTAGGGCCGATGGAGAGCTTGATGTTTGGACGGAGGCCACAACGATCTCTGTGACTACATGGTTCATTGATCATCATGCTCATCCAGTTTGCCGCCAATCGAGAACTGTTACATTGACCGGTGAGGTGATAACATGGATTGATGACTTACGCACAGCATGGATCGATGAGCTTAGCCCTGAAGTGGGCTTCTCTATCCATATAATACGGCCTAGACCTCCATGCCCACGCCATCGGCGACGAAACCTACATTTGCTTCTCGAACAGAA